CAGAAGTCTATACGCTTCGGACGTCAAAAAATTTAAATGGGTATGCATTTTCAGCATTTATAACCAACGTTTGTTTTTATTTCATTCCTACTAGACCCACTATCTATAATCCCATCAACAAAAGCATTTAACGTGAAGATGTCTTTTTCATGGACGAAACGCGATACAGAATTTTTTTTTTTTTTGTTTTACCTGTTGGTCTTAAATGATTAAGTAAAATGGATTTGCTATTATTTTAAATGAATGCATACTAATTGAAAGTAGAGCTGACTCGTGAAATTGAGAAGCTCTGTCCGGGGAATAATGAGGAGGACAAAAGGTGTGAGTTAGGACTGAAAAATGAGTTAACATTGCATGGTTTATTGCTGATCAGATCTTCTTTACTGACAATGACGCATTATTTCCTAGTGTTTGATAAAATAAAATTAAGTTTTATTTCTTCCAAACATTTTCCCGTTAATCTCAAAGGGCAAATAATAAACAAAAGTAGACAAAATAGGGCGCCGCCCCAAGCCACACCAGACATTTTTACTTATCATGTAGATGGAAAAGAAAATGATTCCGATTCTAGATTCCTCTGTTCGAGAAACTCAGTTGAATTAAAAACCGTGGAAAAATATAGAACTAACGAGAGAATTTAAAAAAAAAAAAAAAAACGAATTAAAGGTATGTTCATCATCATTGGAGAACTTGGAACAATATTAAATATTCATTTGAAGAGGATGGAAAAACTGGAAAATTACTAAAACCAGCTAGCATACTGAGAAGGGTAATGGAATATTGACCAGACCCTCTGTCACTTGCTCTACTGCCAAAGTTATCAAATACTCCTTTTTCTCTACTGCCATGTCACTTCAGGATATAGGCGATTATGGACCTCCACAACTTCCTGTTCTTTAAAATTATCTAAATCTGATTAATCTAAATTACTATGATTATCCTTGGGGGACTTAATAGTGGTTTCTTGTAGCTTTCTCTGCGGTTCTGAATTCTCCTAGGTTGATTGCCAATCAAAGCTTGTCCTCTTGATCTAACCATGTGAATGAAAGCAATGCGCAAACCATGAAAAGGAAAACGTAGAATTGTAGGGGGGGGGCTGATGGAAAGTTCCCTAACCTTCACAATCACATGATATGACAGTTATTTTAATGCGGTGAGCTGCGTATACTAGCTCAGGAGAAAAATTGCCAAATACCATGTCATGCTGACATTTTTATCCCCCCCCACCCCCACACACACTCTAAAGAAGAAGCCGTCGCATGGTTGGAATCCCCGGGAATACGCTTTCCTCAGTTTCAAGACATGGAACCAAATACTGCACTTTGACCCCAGCCCGAAGGCCCGGTTATTTACTCGCTTCCACACGGTGGCAAGGTGTAACACAATTTTTTTTTAACGTGGAGTTTGAAATAATAAAGATGTCGGATTAAAAATAAATCCATTAATTCCATCTACCTGCCTCCTCCTGTCAGCCATGTACCAGTCTTTTTCTATCGTCCATTCACCTGTATCTATCTATCGTCATTATAAACGCTATTTTAGTGGATACACGTGGTATTTGGATAGACATCTCTGATTTTTTTTTTTCAAGCAATATAATTAATGTCCATCAGTGCACCCTATCTATACTATGCCCCACACCACCTCTACACATGTACACTTGTAATAAATAAAAGGTTAAAAACAATAATTGATAATAAAATAGAACAATTGTAACAATATACTGTAACAAAAGTCATTAGATAGAAAGAAGACTTGTTCTTCCCGTAGTTCTTAGCAACTTCATCATACCATATTCTTTTTATAAAGAAAACAATCTTCAGATTTTCCTTTAAAGAAAAACCCTTTATAATTTCTATTTAGCATATCCAAATTGCAAGTATTACTACTTATGGAACCATTTAAGTAAAGTTTACATGATCGTATAATTTTACAATTGAATTGGCTAGATCTAACCGGAAGTTCTTTGCTAACAGTTTTTTTTTTTTTCTCACCGGTAAAACTCTTCCGGTTTCTTGCTTTCCAGTCAACTTTGATCTTCAAAAGTGTAAATGTAATTGTTATGAATAATCAAGAATGGTCTCCCCTTGTTTTGTCTCTCTCTGAGAGAGCTATTTCTGTTTACTGAGACTATAAAAGGACACTATACGCGAGCATTGTATTCTCAGTTAAATAAATCTTTCTTAAAGCCTACACCTGCGTGCATTTGTCATTACAGTAATGTCAATCGTCATCTTCTGTCTTCTTAATTCTTCCTCTTTTATTGTGCTCGCTCCTTAGTAATGTTTTTCTTTTTTTTATTCTTTCACACTGAGTAACCCCTTTTATCTTAACGGCTTTATTGCCTTGCTTGGTGTGAAATGATTAAAAAGAAAAACTATTTATTTCTGGGATATACCGCAGATAATGAGTATCCTTTAATACTTTTACGATCAACTCTCACCAGTATTTAGTTCATACCTCCTCTGCCTTCATGTCATTTGAATTATCTGGTGTTTTGTTCGTCATATACACAGATCATGTGATCTACTGTTGTTACTATTTGCAGATCTCTATCATCTGTTATAACACGTAGGCGATCGAAAATGTGGTAGAGAAATCCGAAGGTTCATTAGAACAACGAACGATCCCTTCCAAAATTTAAGTATTAAGAAACAAGAAAATTTCGTTAGAAAGAAAAGAGTCCTTAATTGCTATGGGATATCAATCCTTCTATATGGCACAGAATGAGACATTTTCCACCCAGACGAAGTAACAAAAATATAGTTCTACTGAAAGATAATGAGGATACCATGGACAGAATATTTAAACAATGAGGATATGTGAGAAAAGAGAGCGTGGAAAATTTGACACGCGTAGGGACAGAAGGAAACCTTCATAACGGGCTAGTATAAATAAACCAGCGAGGGGGAAATGATAGCCGATAAATATTGGTGAGAGCGACGAAGGATAGGAAGTTGTGGTGAGGCTCGATCATCCACGTCCTGAAGGGCCATAGCACATAGAAGAGAGATGTTTACAAAGGTCGTCTCATCTGCACGTTTTGCAGGAGGCAAGAAAATGGGGTTTGGTTATGAAAAGCACTAAGAATTTTAATACATTCCACAGTTTCAGGTCATTGGTCACGTAGCGATAACTACACTCGTTTTAGAAGGCCTGAGTATTTAGTTACCGACGCGTAAACATTAAATAAGACGTTAACAAATTAATCCTTATATTATGATGATATCAAAGAGAGAGATTTTTCTATGTACATAAGTAACAACTTGCAAACTCTGAAACTACAAATATCTAATTTGGATTTAAAGGAACAATTCTGTCCTTGGTCCTCGTCGATGTGACATTTTGATCGGGAGGGGGGGTATTAATTTAAAACAAGAACCATAATCTTCTTCCGTTTGTTCCTTAGCACATATGTTACGCTCTGCCAGTAACTTCATAAACCATGGACTATTCTGTTTTGATCGTGATTGAAGACGACAAATATACAGGATGATTGAAAAGTAATTCCCTACTTTATGTATGATGGACTCTCCTGTCTAACTATAATTTTTACAAGACGGGAGAGTCCATCATACATAAAATAGGTGAGTTACTTTTCACTCACCCTGTATATCACAGAGGCTGGTTCCAGTGAGGAAAAGAAAGAGGGGACGATGACGCTGTCATGTTTTTAATGTCTGCTTTGATTAAATGGAAAAACTTGTTAAAATGAATTTATATATTTTCCGTTGCGTTAAAATCTTTTTCTCAAGCAAAAGTGCTACGTCATCTTGAAAATTAAATTGACCTCGCTTTTACGACGAAGACAGTGCGGTATATTGAAGATCTGCCTGTCAAAAGTTCGGTGAGGGTTCCAAGAATTTCATCACTTTCTGCAATTTCTCTATAGGAATGCAGAAAGTAATTATCCTTTTTATAACATGAATTTACTGACATCCCAAAGGGCTCTGAAGGTTACATCACAGCTAGAAGTGACGACAGCCTGTGGTTGAAGATAGTCAGTGGCTGATGAGTTTCCAATAGAACAGAAGTAAAGCCTTCTTTATATTCGTCCTTTCACGTACTGCTTGCTTTTTTTTCATGCCTGATATAATTTCTCTTTATGGGACAAATTGTGATAAATATATTTGTTTATGTATAGAACTTTTGTATCACATTTTTATATTCTAATGCTGTATATAAAATGTTTTCAGGTACAATTCATTTTTGGAATTAACTTTTTGAGCTATGCTCGTCCTTCTTTCCTTTTGAGTTAAGGTGTTCCTATATCACGGGTATACTAATGCTTAATGTGGGCCTTGGAATGTGGAGAAAACGAAAAGGTCTTCTCTCCAAGCAATCCCTTTAACTTTGATTAGCCAGGCGCGTCTGAAATTTGACTTGATTAATTACCTTGGTTCTATTGTATCCGCGTTTTTCGTTCACAAATAAAGTCAAAAGAAAAATACCCCCCGAAAAGTTGTATTGACTCAAATTTCTTTGCAGCATTGTGTAATACTAACTGGAATAAAGTCTCTTTTTTTTCTTTTTTTTTTTTTCTTTTTTTTTAAAAATCAAAAATCAGATTTATTGCCATTTCTTCCTTCTTGTTTACTTGTATAAAAAAAAAATCTAGATTTTCTCGGAAATATAACTTTATCCAAACAATTGACACTAATTTTTCAAGTTGAAATTGTGCATATGTGGCACGGTTATATCTAAACCTTTTATTTTTGATTTACCCTTTTATGAAGGGTTACCAAAAAGTTCTCACTCTGACCAACTTCTCAAAATCTGACCAAAGACCATAAATTTGATTTGGAAACGTCTTAGCCGAGCCAAGTACTTTTCCGCAAGCTCTCTTATTGTACATGAATCCTTTTTTTTTTTTTTTTTTTTTTTTTTTCACAGATGCTTACTTAATGACTTTTTGTTTTTATTTAGGCGCGTCTGAAATTGACAGTTAATCAGGAGCCGCTGAAATAGCCAACCTTCACGTAAGGTTTCTCTTGTCAACTATGTCAAGCGAAAAACGGGCAAGTGTTAATATTTTTATATTCCGATATTTGTAACCAAAAACCAGTATTGTAATTTATTTAAAAAACGGACAAACGTCATTTCTCAAATTCAAACAAAAAAGTGAATGACTAGAAATGTTAATAAACCTTTTGAAGATATTTTTAATGTGGAAAGAAAACCATCCTAGTTGCAAATGCTTTTCTCTTTCTCTCTTTCTTTTAAAAAATACAGATTTACTGACAAATAGGTAAGATTAGGAAGAAAAGCTTACCTATTACCAGTAAATATGTGCTTTTTGTCTTTGGGCCATATTTGTGCGTTTTTCCATAAGTGTTACACACAATAGATATAGCCATCACTTGGCTGTTTCTTTCCACACGGCATCAGAATTGAGAAATGGAAAGAGGATAACAAGATTGGAAAGAGGAAGTAAGAAAACAAAACAAAAATAGTGAAAGGAAAAGATATAGATATAAGTAAACTTACTGTCTTAAGTTTTATTATACCTTTACTCCTTTGATCTTTTAAGTGGGTGACGCTTTATTTTTCTCTTGGAACTTGTAACATTTAGGCAAGAAAGGAGCTAAATAATATGAAACTAATATATTCTAGATGCACTAAAACAAAACAAACCATCTACTCTTGTATGGCGGGGAGCACACAAACAAAACTTAGCCTTACTCAAATTTATAAAAGATTAAAATGGATTGATTCACTTTCAACGGTTTATCAACCATTTGCAGGTTATGTAAAGCCAGAAAATATTTTTAGATTGTCTTTTTTTTCTTTTTAAAATTTGATGGACTAGTGATGCATGTCATACTAATTAACCCATAGCTGGGGAGAGAAGAAGTGGATTCTTAACTTTCCAAAGGGTATTTGCGCGTGAGTTAATATAACGAACCCGACTCAAATTGGAACTTGGCTCTCTCATTAACAATTCCGAGCCATTGTCCATTATTACAGCACCTGGTATTTCCAAGCGGTCATCCACCTTGGTACTGACAGGGGGGGGGGAGTTTCCTGCGTAGTACTCACCGCACCGGCCATACAGATACACGACGTATATTATTAGTTGATGACTGACAATGTAACGTGAGTTTAAAAATAATTTTAAAAATGACTGATGGTGATGAAACAGTACTGAAAGGAATGGCAGAAGCCTCAACGGGGTCCAAAAAACGTGACCCCCCCCCCCGGTTGGGGAATAAGACGCAACATCTATACCAAACTTATTTTTCCAGAGATTTCGTTACACTGACCTATGGTCAAACTTTCTCTAATTCATCTCTGCTGAAGTCACTGATCTACGAGTGAACTCTCACTAACATCAGTAAATTAACACTACATTTTTTTTTCTTTTAGTTATCAACCTTACAATTAATTCTTTCAACTCAGTTTTAATTGTCTTTTTTGTCTATCTTTTATTTTATTATCTAACCGACATTTTTAACTGTCGAATTAAAAACTTCTACATTAGTGACAACGCTTAACTCAAACCCAAAAGATCAGAAAGGCTTCTACTTTTATTTACTGTGAAACTTAAATTATCTTATATATATGCCGATATACATTTACAACAAAACTGATTATATACATTAACAAATTGGTATGCAGAAGGTCGTTAAATTTGAAATGTGCGCAAACTAAATGTAGTACTTACTTTGCCGCAGCAATTTGTGAGCAGCACTTCTTGTGAAACTCTCTTCCGGATTTTTCCTTCCTGATCTTCAAAAGTTTATATGCAATGCCAATCATTATCTCCTGTCTTCTTAATTCCTATTCTTTTATTGTTCTCTCTTTCCTTGTTTTCTTTTTTTCTCATATTCTTTCGCACACAGTAGCCCCCTTGCCTCTTAGTGGCTTTATTGCCTTGATTCGGATGAAATTATTAAAAAAAATGTCGGACCACATTTCTGTTGCCTCAAATCTCTTCCTTAACGGTGAGAACATTTTCCAGTATTCACTGCCATATAGGAGAATCGGAATTAAATAGAAGCTTAACACTCTTTCATTTCTTCCTAACACTCATATTTTATAATTCTTTATAGTGTAATATTCAGAGGCAAATCCAGGATTTTGAGCAGGGTGGGGTTCAAATCGAAAAAAGCTAGTGAAATAGATAAAAGGAAAATTTATCCCAAGCATCGAAAACACAATGAGATCCCCCATTTACACTTACATTTGAATCGTAACTTTTTTTATTAAAAAAAATAGTAAAATAAATTTACCCCAGAACTAATAATCAAATAAATACGATCAATAATTACATTTATATTAAAACTAATGTCCTAATCTTTGTTTTTATTATCACGTTTCGGCCGCTGTACTATTCGGCCTTCTACAGGGATCTGTCAATTCGGGTAACACTCAGGAAATTTCGAACTAGACCTTTTATTTAATGCACGGGCGTAGATTTTTATGGTTCTATTGTCCATTTCTTATTTAGTACTGCTCCACTATCGTTTGCACTGTTTCCACTTAGTGAACTACTCGGCCCAAGGATTGAACTCACAATTACTATGTCACCAAATTAATTCCTCGTCCCCTACCAAATCAAGCAGAAATTGATCAAGAAAAAGTTTAATGTTATTTTACGATAGGGTACCGAAAAATTCACGACCCTTCCAAAGAAAATTCAATGTTCGATATGGTCAGATTTGGGGGAGTGGATCGGACCGAAAACTTTTCAACACTCCTCGAATATATATTAAATGCGAAACAAATAACAAAATAAGTTAATTTAAAGGTTAGTCCCGGGTTACTTGAAATTATTTATTTTATTTTATTTACGAAAGGTTGCTATCATCTCGACACGACCCACTTTGCAAAATTGCGTCAAATGACCAAAATATTCGAATTTATTTGGAATGTCTTCTTGGTTTGGCAGAAGTTTTAAGTGTTCCCTTTGTATAACATTTCTTTATCAATATATTATATATCATACGGAATAAACAAAAAAATCCATTCCCTTTCTTATATATATATATATATATATATGTGTGTGTGTGTGTGTTTATTAGTTCGACAGATATTTATTACTTAAGCGTTATTTTTAGCGGATCGATTTATTTATTAAACGTTATATTTATTTTCGTCTACCGGCCTGAATGTTCAAGAAATCTTATTAGAGAAAAATATGTTTCTCCGGCAGGATTTGAAGGGGAAACTCAAGTTCAAATCCTTCCAGAGAGCATATATATATATATGTTTTGCCCGATCGGCAGTTTTCGAAATCTCGTAACTCAATGTTTTTATCCCAAATACAAGATGCGGTAGAAACACCTCCCACATAATGGTAAATGAAAACGCCATTGCCTATTGTCTTACCATTATGTGGGGTCACGGTCACGTCACGTTAAAACACGGGATTCCGTACGATCACCGAAGATAAGCAATGTCGAGCTGATCATTACCTAAGTGGGTGACCGCTTGGAAATATCAGCTTGGATGTGCGGGTGGTGTAATAATGGATAATGGCTGGGAATTGTTAAACGGAGAGCCGAGTTCCAATCCCAATCGGATCCGCTATATTTACTTCCGCAAATAAATCCCCTTTGAGAAAAGGTATGAATCCACCTCTTCTTTCCCTCCCAGCTATGGGTTAATTAGTAAGACTTTTATCATTAAAAGCATTATTAATAAAAAAATTGCGTACAAGATTTTGGCATTAAATGACTCAGAGGCTGATATGTTGCTAAACAACCAACCCATGATGATTATGTGGGAGGTATTTCTACCACACCTTTTATATCATAACGAATCTATTTTCTCTTCAATCCTAATGAGTTTTCCGGTACCGAAACGAAAATCTGTAAATAAATTTGTAAATAAAGAAATTTGGATGCGCATGGGGTAAAAGACGTTCCCCACTTGCGCATTAGAAGCTTGAAATGTTGCATTAATTTTAATTTCTTTTGGAACCACTAAGGGAGTTTTTAATCTGAGTCTTTCACGTGCTGAACAACTCCGTCCTTAACTTTTGTTGGTTATGCTTTAAAAGTTAATTTCGTCTGACGAGATTAATCTAGTCCTCCAAAAAACCTTGTAGCGAATGTTAGGCGAGACTCGTTTTCTTCAGTAGTAACTTTGTGTGAAAGCCGTCCTTGAAATCCATGTCGACCCAATGTTCTATAAATTGAGATATGTGTATATCTGTCCCAGCTTTCTTCAGGTTAGTCTGGTTGTCCTTGACGCTTGGTTTCCAGACTGATCTGAAACTTTCCTTTATGATTTGTCATTGTTCGTGTTGAAATCTTCATAAGGCGAAATATCACGCAGGCATTGCTATCAATTTCTTTCCATTTATAAATAATGGATAACACATTCTAACAGTGTATATCAAACAGATTGGAATTTTCTGTAGCCTTCCCCCGGATTTATAAGCCTCAGTCAGTTTATTTTTCAAGACTTCGGTATACTCTTTCATTTTAAATAAAAATGATTTCAAAGGTGAATAAATAATATTGAAGTTCTAAACTATTTATTTTATAGACGTTGTAATGCAATGTTAAGCTTCACAGCGTGTAGAAAGTATAAGAATGGCATAATTTTCGTTGTTATTAGAACTTTATATATATATTCCGCTGCAGATCGCATAATGATGCAACAGATCTTATTGCTAATTGTTGAAATAAAATAATTATTTCTTAAACTGTTTTACGTACAGTTATTGAGTAAACAAATATTAAATCAAATTTGAAATGATCGATTATAAAAAAAAATAATGAAAATAAAACAGGTTGAGGATTTTGTATACATTTACATAAAATTATATATACTCAAATATTGCTGCTTTCCTGTGACTTAATAGATGTGTGGATGTTCAGCTTGAAAGATTTTTTTTTTTTTTTTTTTTTTTTAAGCGTTTCACCCCAAGCAAGGCGGGAAGCCACTAGGATGCAAAGAGTTACAGGAAATAGCAAGATCAAATAGGAGTGATAGAAGAAAGGATGAGGGTAGTGGATAGATTAAGGCAACTGGAGATGTCGATTGACATTACATTTGAATAGCTGGA